CGGGGGCGGGCGCTCGCCACGGCGCCCTTTGCAGCCTCCGGGGACGACCCGCCTGCCCCGCCACGGCCACAGCGGCAATAATGGCACCAAGAATGACGATCCCGAATAAGCGTTAGCATGGAGTCCCGTCTTTTTGGTCGCCTTGTCATGTTCTGGGTGGATGAGGTAGAGATTACTGTCCCTAGTTTTTAGTAAAGGAAACTGAAGCTCGGTCACCAGGAGACATCCAAGGGGGTCGCATCGATGCGGAAGGGGGTGCCCCGGGGCGTATGGGACTGGGGAGAACCTCTGTCCAGGGGCAGCTGCGGGAACGTGGGGTAGAGCCCGGGAGGGGGCACCGTAAGGGAAGCCTGCGTCCAGGGCAGGGGGGAGACCGGGCCGCCGAGGGCACCCGGGGGTGCGGCGGGGGGTGCGGCAGGGGAGTTGCTCTTGGGCCCGCGCGGCCGCGAAGCACCCTGGCGGGCGCCATGCACTTCGGTTGGCCAGCTGCCTGCCGGGATCCGCCACCAGACGGTCCCCGAGATGGAGGGGAACCGGGCCGCGGGAGGAGAGAGCCGAGACTAGAGGACCGAGTGGCGCCTCCGCCACCTTCCCCCCAGCGCCTTCCTGAGGGATTGGTCGGAAGGGCTCCTGGATCCAAACGCGTGGAGGTAAAACAGGTTTCAGCTTGATGACTGGCCACCCCACCCCAACTGTATCTTGTGGGGTCTACCCGCACCTTGCGACCGAGGTGGGAGACAGAATCAAGTTTGTTTAAGGAAGATGGTTTGTATTTCTCACCCACGTCTCTTCCTGCCTGTCAATTGCTATGAAAACGCTGGCAGGCACCGGCTTTTGTTTTGATTTCTTAATTATTTTTTGTTTATATACTTTTTTTTTTTTTTTTTTTTTTTTTTTTTTTTTTAAAAATGACCGGGAAGGGGATCTTAACCCTTGACTTGGTGTTGTCAGCACCACGCTCACCCAATGAGCTAACCGGCCATCCCTATATGGGATCCGAACCCGTGGCCTTGGTGTTATCAGCACCGCACTCTCCCGAGTGAGCCACGGGCCGGCCCCTTTTGTTTATATACTTCTATTAAAACCTCTGTGTTAGGTCAAAGTACAAAGACCGGAAAATCACTTTCCTTGCCCAGCAAAGACTTTACAATAAAAAAAAGACAGATATGGACACTAATAATGTACCATAAAAGCAGGCTAAGGCCTGCAAACCACAAAATATAAAAATAAGTTAATTTAGTGTCGTTTGGGAAAATCACTTTCCTTGCCCAGCAAAGACTTTACAATAAAAAAAGACAGATATGGACACTAATAATGTACAATAAAAGCAGGCTAAGGCCTGCAAACCACAAAATATAAAAATAAGTTAATTTAGTGTCGTTTTAAAGCCATTTAAAAACTAAGAACAGAAAGCAAAAACTCCTTTAGATGAACACAATAACTGAGAATATACTTTAGCTTCGTATTACGGCCTGTAAAAAAGAGAGATCAGGTAGGAAAGAGAGAGGAAAGAAAAAAGTTGGAAAAGAATTAAATAATGTGAGTGAAAGAGACCCTAAAGAGAAAAATATACAAAGATTACTTATTAGTCAGATACACAATCACAAACAGAAGTGTGTGTCTATACAGGCGGAAAAATAGAATTAAAAGATAATACGAATCTTTCCATGAGCTTTTTGACTTACCCTTCTATATTTTAAAATAATAGAAGTAGAAATAGTGGAGAATAGAAACACATAAAGTCACTAATTCACAGAGAAATATTAAAATTAAATACAATAAAATTTCTGCTAAAGATTTAAATCCGTTACATTTTGCAATTATAAGCATATTTGCAGATTTATACAATTATAGGCATAAAGGATAGTTTGAAATTATGGAATACAAGGCTTTGGGATTCAATAAACTCATCTTAGTCCTACTTCTGTTACTTATGAGCTGTTTGTACCTCAGGAAATTTACTTAAAACTTCCCTAAGCCACATTTTTTTAATTTATCATAGGGATAATTGTTTATATTTTATGGAATTGTTTGAACTTTAAATATAAGATAAAATGTAAATCACTTGGTCCAGTGCCTAACTCTAAACAAGCAATGGATATATTATGATGATGAATATTAGTTTAGTTTAATCCTGCTAATTGTCTTGCTGATCAATTAAGTATTAGATTTCAGCCAATAGTACTAGTTCTGCTTCTGACTTCACAGAATGGTAATGTACCTAAAGCTTAGAAGTTCTTGACATGTCTAAAAGAAATTATACTTTATCATGGGCATTTATGTCTGCGGGTGAACTGAGTGCATCTGATTTACAATCCAGATAGACAACATTACCTGAGAAGCTCCTGCAAACAAGAGGGTTGCAGAAGCAGAAGCAGGAAGGATAAGTGCAGATTCTTTATTTACTGTCCGATAGTTATAGAAGGATAAGGATAACACATTTTTCCTTAGTAATACCCAACATCCCTATAGCCTTCTTAGTTTACAGAGTACTGTTCACATTATTTAACTCGCATTCACTCGTTCCTTTCCCCTCGTCTTCCTTCCTCTTGACCTCTAGTTATTTATTTTTTTTTTTCAGTTTGCAAAAGGGACAGTCAGAAACATCAACAGAAAAGTCCACACAAAATAGTTAGCTTGACGCCAGCAGGGCCTTCTAGGTCAAGCTGAAAGTAATTTCCTCATCACTGTGCTCTGCTTCTAACTAAATCAAAAGAGGGAGGTCATGGAGCAGGCCAAGGACCTTGTGGCTCCCGGCTTTCAGATAAACAAAAAATTGCTAGCTCTGGTCTCTCCACACCATCCAAGGACACAGTTCACAGCCCTTTCTCCTAGTATTTGTCCAAGGTGGGAGGGATGAGGTGGGAAAACAAAGGGACTGGGACTGAGAGTACCGTCTAAATCCTCATATGCATGTGCAAGATAAACATAACTTTTGATCTCTTATTGAGAGAACCTGGAACTCCATTTTCATTGGGTTGTAGAGAGAGTTGTTGTGAAAAACAAACACAAACTGCTTCAAATAATATCTAGTTATATTCGTCCATTTTCTGTTGCTTATAATAAAATATCTGAAACTGGGTAATTCGTAAAAAAATAAAATTTATTCCTTACAGTTTTGGTGGCTGGGAAGTCCACAGTCCAAGGGGTGCATCTAGAGAGGACCTTCTTGGAGGTGGCTCTACAGAGATGCAGGGTATCACATGGGAAATGGGCTGAGCAAGAGAGCTAACCTGATCACTCGCTCTCCTTATAAAGCTATAAGCCCATGACTACCCATTAAACCATAAATGGATTAATCCATTCATGAGGGTACAGTCCTCATAATCTGATCACCTTTTAAAGGCCCCACCTTTCAATTACCATAATTGAAACAGTGTTACAGCAGGGATTAAGTTTCTAACACATGAACCTTTGGGGGACACATTTA